ATGCTAATTTGAAGCAGTTGCAGGGTGGGGGTGTGTGTGGGGCGAGCTGGGTGGGGTAATCGTGGAGATCTAATGGGGATCAGTGCTGTGGGAGCTCTCTATACATCTGCCGTCTGGCTAAGACCCACCGCACCTGAGACTCTCCGGCTTGGCTGCGGTCGCGCTCCACTGTCGGCTTTGAAGCTCCACAGATGCAGCATGGCGCCACTGCTGGCACAAGTCAGGAGTGTGTGTTCCTGTGTGCGTGTGTGAGTGTGTGTTAAAGTGTGTGTTGTGGTTGGAATTGCTTTTCTAGCTGAGAGGGAGCTGCATGCACAGAGCTCCTCATATCATATCTGCAGTTTTTCTCACACTTTCACTTTTTTCACTTTGTTTCTGTCCTAAAAAACAGGAGGACACTTTTCAGAGGTGTTCATATTATCCTATTAAACCCTCATTTATTTAAAAAAGGCACATATGAAATGCTAAAAATACTTTTGGGTTGCTAAAATCTGTGCTGAACTTTTGTAGAAATACTTTTGCATAAACATGAATGAAGTTTGTTGCAGTGAAACTTTTGCAGGTCAGTTTTCTGTGACGTCAAAGTTAAAGGTGGTGTAGTCAGGATCTGATTCCAGTTTTTAGGAGAAATCTTGAATGTAAACTCTACCCCTCCCAACCAGTTTTCCCCTCAGCTCCTCCTCTCCCCTCCCTCTCTTAAGCCCCGCCCACAAACAAGGTGAAAGTCAAAAGCATTGGTGCTACTGTAGATGCCAACAGACTACCAGCAAACACAATGTTTGCAGGACTTCTACAACGAGGATAAAGTGACATAGTCCAGGACCCGAGGGAGGACAGTTTAGCGATGGCGCTACAACACGCTACAGCAGGTCCGTTTGACAAGAAACACTTCTGTTACAGACACTTGTCTTACTTTGTTAAAGCGGTTTACCTGTCCAGCAGAAAGGTTACAGGGTCACCAAGATCCCCAAGCGTCCCCCATCGTTTATGTTGACCCGGCTTTTTAGCTCTTGTCCGGTCTACCTCCGTTTTAAGCGCCCGTTATTCCTCCAGAGTCTCCGGTATTTACTTTGTTTTCTCGCTTGTGTCGGCAGTCGTGGCCAAAGGAGGATTCAGACAATTTTCCGAACTTTCTGGTTGGTTTCTACTGTCCGATATTGTAGCACGCTAACTTTGTTTGGGCTCCTGAACGACACGGGGGAGCAGCGTCTGCCTCACAACCAATCAGGTTAGAGGAGGTGGAGAACGGCTTTGTTTACAGTCAGAAAGAGCGGACCGCAACAAAACATAGAGATATCGTTATATTAACAAATGTCATCAATAACTAATAACTATTGACTGATATTAGAAGATTTTTTTTTACACACCACAAAAAAAAAAAAAAGTTGATTCTTTAACGGGATCCAGCCTAAGTTTAGAAGCCTAAACTTGTTCTATTCCTGATTAATAAAAACTAACCATAAAGCTTTAGAAACAGGATGTATCCTGCAGTCAAAATCACAAAAATGCATCTTATCATCAAAGAATTTAACTAACAGCAGATTTTATGGAACAAAACTTAGTGACAAATTCTGTAAATTCTGTAAAACTGAAATCTCTGGAGGCTTTCTAAGAAATCAGAGAGTCAGATTTCTTGTGATTTCAGGTAAAGGAGTTTCAGCTCTTCCTGTGAATCATCAGACTGAGAGCGTGGAGATCAGCGTACGGTGTGTGTAGGTGTGTGTTCACTGATATCCCCTCCAAACAGGAGCAGCACTCGATTACATAAATGGATGTCGGGGCCAGAGGAAGGCCTCGACCCTCTTGTTACTCAGCTCACCTCTACACTTGACTCCTGCTCGCTCATTGTGTCGCCGTGACGAGGAAAAAAAAAAAAGCGGATCCAGGGAAGCAGCCTCCTGGTCATCTTTAATTCATGCGATTAAATATGCAGCAGCAGCAGCAGCAGCAGCCCTCCTTGTACCAGCTGTTAGACGCCGTTAGTAAGCCATAATTCAAGAGTTCAAATCCCAGCAAATTGAGGGCGAGGTCGGACAGAGCGCCGGACGGAGAGGTATTATCCTCCAGCTGAGGGCCGGGCGGGCGGGCGAGCGAGCGGCAGGTTCAGTCAGGTGCAGCGCAGAGCGGAGGCTCGTTAATCCTCCCGGCTGAGTAAAGATAAGGCCGCGCTCCGGCTCTATAAATGTACAGACAGGAAAACAGGGACAGAGACACAGCGGGGTTACATCTCCTCTTAAAACCTCCAGAGCGCTTTATTACAGCCACTGATGCTGCTCGACCTTTGACCTCTAATATCATTACTCTGAGTGCTGAAACTTTTACACGTCTTCAGCATTTAGATCCGTGTAAACTCCGTCTGCAGAGTCTGGTTCTCCTTTAAAGTCAGTGAGTGAGAGAGAGAGAGAGAGGGAGTGCTTCCCTCCACATCTGCACAAGTGTGATAGTCATGAGTGCACGTCTTTATCTGCATGTGTGTAAAAGCACCTCATTGACACGCTGCACCTGCATGAATATAATGGGCAGGGTTATATAATCTCTGTGTTAAGCACCTGAATGTGCATCAGTGTGTGTGTGTGTGTGTGTGTGTGTGTTTCGTGCACCTGCGTGTCTGCAGAGGAAATCACCATTTCAATGCAGCTCTGATTAAACTTCCCATTTACCGTTCTGAAAGTGCACAGGAACCTTCTCTTGGCAGGTTGCCTCCTGCAGCAGGCCGCTGCCAAGCTCTTTGAAACCCAATCAGTTTTCGCTCCTCAGATCACTATCCGCTCCTTAGTCTCTCCTCGCCTCGCTCCTCCTGGATCGGCAGCTCGCGTTGCAAGCAGGAAAAAAAGGAGAAGAAGAAGAAAGACGCCGGTGGTTGGTCATCCATCAACCCAGCCAGCTGGCGTTGGATCAACACCCACCGAGTCCAGCAGGCACCTGTTGGGAGTCTGCAAGGTGCAGCACACTGCAAAAAATAGACAACCTCACAAGCACAGAAGCTTATTTTCCTCAAGTGAAGAGAAAATCTGCTCAGTGCAAAAGATCAGTAACTTTCCTCGCAGATAAACTTTATAAAAATGAAGACGAGGATTTATTCATTTAGAGTAAAAACCAGAGACACGTCTCTGCGTTTAAATCAGCGTCTAAACTGACCGACAAACAGACATCAGATCGTAGTTTTCACCGTTTCTGGAAAAGGAAGAGGAGCAGAGACAAAAACACATTAGTGCTCCACATCAGAGCAGAAGCAGAAAAGGCCAGAGAGAGAAAGAGAGAGAGAGAGAGAGAAACAGATAAAGAGAGGGAGTTATAGCGAGAGTTTGACCGCAGTGACCAGGGGAATTAGAGAGAGAGCTTATCCCTGCGTCAGTATCAACATGTATAAGCCCAACGCTCCATTTCAACCCCAGAAACCTGCCGTCCAATCCATCAAAACACGACTCCCATCGACATAAAACCTCCCTCCCTGCCTGTATTTGTCTTCCTAATTAATTACTTCACATGCCACAGTATGTTTTTCAAATGATAGATGATGGGAAATTATAGCTGCGGTGTCCCGGGCACAGCCGGTGGTAGATTTGTGCAGTCAGCTTCCAGCCTGCATTACCTGAGTAGATCTGGCAGCGTGCCTGAGCACTCAGACAGGACGGGACGGATTTGATTTTTGGCGTGTAAGAGGCTTTTTAAAAAATGTTTCTAATGCCGGATTTAGTAGGTAAGCACAATCTGTCGTGTTCACCTACGTGATATTATCCAACAAGGACGCGGCGGCGGCGACACGGAAAACACGGCAAAGAAATGGGACTGTGTTCGTGGAGGAATGGGATGTTTGAAATCTGAATATGTGGACGGATTAAACAAACGAGTGAACTTCATGTCTCAGATATCATATTTATCTCTCCAAACATCGTCTGAAACATGAATATTATCAGATTTTTATTACAGAGAAGCAGAAAAGCGTCACATTTGAGAGGCTCTGTCCTCTGACGGTCCAGTATTTTTGATTAGAGGTCAAAAACAAACTTGATTTAAAGACGTTTAGGTCATGTGAAGTTTCGAGGAGACTCTGACGCTGAACGGAGCGCTCCTCTCCGTAAACTCGCGGCGCTCTGAACCGTTCCAGGAGTAATAAACAAACAAATCGACAGGAGCTTCACTCTTTCTGCTCAGTTTTGATCATGCGCAGCGCCCTAGGCCAGCTTTTTAATCCAGATTCCAGGCCTTTGATTCACAGCGCTGTCCGGTTTTAATAATGCAGGCATGTTCACGGGTGGTTCGCCCCGCCGCCTCGGGGTCCGTCTCCCTCGCCCCTCCTCCTGAGGAGGGCCGCTTCCTCACGGCGATGTCGGACAGGAAGCGCCGGCCGTGAGAGAAAGCGAAGCTGGGAGGACGGTGAGCGGTGAGGGGGATGAGAAAGAGAAGGAGAAGTTTCTTTTTTCCATGCTGGGAGCACAAAAGAGCATATTAAACCGCCAAGTTTATCAGTCCAAATGAAGTCTTGAATTCACAGCTTCTTTAATCTTCGCCATCATCTGAAACCATTTCCTCCCCTCCCGCCTCCACACTTCCTCCCGCTAAAACAGAGCAATGAAATCCAGAACGTGCCGTGTTGAAAACACCGAGACACATCATCAAAAATTAATTAGTCCTCCACCCCTCCTCCCCGCCTCATTTCCATACGATTCCTTTAAAAATATGTAAAATTCATTTAAAGTAAGTGGTGACGTTGTCTTTGAAGATCACGACAACGAGCGCGGATCAAAGCCGGGGTTCAGTACGGATGAGGGCCTGATTAGCATAATGAAATTAACTCGGAGACAAGAATCTCTAATAGGTGCGACAAAAAAACGCATTAACAATATTTAAGGAGGCCGCTGTTTGTGCAACAATAAGACAAAAACTGGAATTAAAGCAACGACACTTTGTGGACAAACTTCTTCCTTTTCCTCTCCCTTCACTTCTGTCACACGCCGTGACTCGCTGCTGTATTGTTTGTCTTAAATCGGGCCATGAAATCAGACAGAATTTGCATATTCACAGTGATAATTGCAAAGCTGGCAGATAGTTGTGCTATAATTGCAAACTAATGACTGCAAAATTATTTGTGAACTGCTGAGATGTTCAGCTTTTCTGTCTCGAAGCAGCAGCAGCAGCACCTCGTCTGAGTGACGTCTCAGCGGGTCCAGGATTAAGTTCTGGTTCTGGGGAGATATTGGCCTGAAATGACTGTTTTTATCGGGTTCACGGTTCTTCTTCTGATGCCGCAGCGTGTGATCTGTGTACGACAACATCCTGTATGAGCGTTGGCTTCCTGACGTTATTAATCACAGCTGCAAAAATACCTGAGCCTCTGTGATCCCAGCTGTGATAACAGGAAGCTGATCAGGATCATGATAACGGCCTGATAACCTGGATAACCTGAAGTTTGTTCCCGTTTAACTTTAGAACTCCAGACCCCGCCGAACAAACACACAGGCGTGCCGTTTGATGGAATTGGAAAGCGAACCAATGATCTTTTATTAATTTCAGCTGTTAATTTTTCTCTCTGATCTCTGCATCCAATCAATTAAAAGTTTCCGTTTGCTAAAATTAACACAAACGCAGAAACTTCCAAACTTCATCAGTGACTCAGTGAAGTTTCCTAAAGTATTTTCAGATATCGTTTCCAGACGCTGTTTGAAGCCTGAGGAGACGTGTGAGGATCAGGACTCGGAGCTCCGTTTGGCGAAGCTTTGTTTGTCCGAATTCGATCGGTTTACGACTTTAAATCCAACAAGAAGAAGAAGAGGGTTAACGGTCAACTAATGTTTCTAACCTTTACGGTTTCACAATTAGAAAATAAAACACATTATTTTACATGAACTATTTGTTTTCACCCTTCAGTCGTCATTTCTCGTCTTGGTGTCGTCACGCACCAAACTCCTAAAGATTGTCTCTGCCTAGATTTTCGAAAATGAGCGATTGGATCAGATTGGAAACAGTTCATGTAAAATAGACCAGTACCTAATTTCATTCGCCACTTCTGACCGCAGTATGTCGAAGGAAGTAAGTTTTGTAAGTTAATAATAATAATTAGTTATTATTAATTATTATTATAAATACGTTTTTCCTCATTAACTGTAAATAAATGGATTAACAGGAAAGTTTTGAGCGCTACGCTGGAGTCTGATCTCATTCCCCACGTTTTCTGACTCGCCTTGTCGAGTTCAAAAGTTTTTCAAACTTTCTAAATTGTTTCCTGACTTTAGTCGGAGTTCTCTCCTTAATTTTCTTCAAATAGACTAAAAGAAAAAGTGAATCTGCAGCTTTCTAATAAACTGAGTCAGCTTTTTTTCAAGTCAGGTTAGAGTTTGAATTTATCCGCCTTTTCTGACTCCGATTTTTAACCGACTCCATCCTTCAAACTTTGACTCAGGGTTACGGTTCAGACTCGGCGAAGGTTCGGGCGTTGGATTCTGCTGCTATCTGATGGCTCTTTTCCTGACGACGAGGACATAACGGCCTCTCCGACTCGTGTTTGTTTAGAGAGGAAAGTATGTACCAACATCGGGCCGAAAGGATGGAAGTGAAAAAGGAAGTAAGAACGGCTAATTTCCCCGTCGACTCCTCCGGTCAGCTGAGATTTCCCACAAATATCAGGAAGTTTGTCCAGATATTTCTCGGTCTTTGTGTTGTTGAGTTTGTAATCTGACCGGCAGCCCTCTCAGTGGGAGTCTGCTGTTCTGATAGAGAAAGAGCGCTGTCCTCTTTAGGCCTGGCAGTAATTGAAATAAATTACACGGGCTCAGCGTTGTTGTTATCTGTGGTTAGTTAACAGCACCTCCCTCCCTCTCAGGGAACGCTGGGATCCAGGGAGGAGGAGGAGGAGGAGGAGGAGGAGGAGGACCAAGACGACAGCGAGGTTCCAGTGACCCAGATTTAGTCTCCAAACATAAATAAATTATCACCCCTTCACACACACACACACACACACACACACACACAGTACTCCCTTCATGTTGAGAGTGTACCTTCAAAGTTGTAAATGCAGATCTAATCAGGCTGAAATGGAGATTTACTCTCAGTCCTTAAAGCAGGCCGTCTGCATATTTACTGTACTTCTGCACATTCCACTCTCAGTGCACGCAGACGCTTAATTGATCAGCAGGAACTGACAATAATTCTGATAATTGAGGAACCAGAAAACATGCACAACAGCCTTCGGTCCAGTTCTGGTTTTATTCTCTCCGAGGTTAAAGGTTCCTGACAAAAACGAGGCGTTCTGAAATTTTTATACGTTTAAAATTTTATAAAGAAACTTATAATAAAGAACCGTTAAGTTCCCATCTCTTCATAGACATGAAACTTTGACAGAGGTCAGGTTTTCATCTCTAAAAGGTCTCTGATAGGGGGCGGTCCCTTCTGAAAGAACTGGTACTTTAGGGGCGGGACTCTTCTACAGAAGGATTCATCTCATTTTCACCCGTCTCTAAATAGAGGAACCTTTTTGACCCTTTAAGAGGAGAAAGTTCCTGTAGTTTTAGGTGGAGACTGGACTTTTGGGAGTGCTGCTCTTCTCTGTTGAAGTAGATGTGACAGATTTCATGTCAATATTTTATTTTAAAGTGGTTTTAGTGGTTTATAACAGGATCTTCAGACCGGTTCCTGGGTCTGTTTGTCTGAGTTGAGCTCACATCCATCAGTTTAAGAGGTTCTCTGTGTTTTTTTCTGTCACTCATCTGTCGGACGATCTTTTCTGATCTCTCTGGCGTTCAGTCCGGTGAGATTACCTGATAAAATAAAGGTAACAGCTCATGCAGCAAACTCTCTCCAGCTGGACTTTGTCCTGATGAAGAATCACCAGAACCAGCGAGTAAACTGACCCCAGTAAATAATCCTCTTTCCTCACACTCTGGTTTGTTTGGAGAACGTCTTGAGAAAACAGGGTTCTTGTCCTCGGAAAACAAAGTCATAAAAACAGAAGACTCTGAGACTGTGCAGGAGTGACAGTGTTTTTAAGCAGGCCTGCCTGTCTGTCTGTCCGCTGTCTGTCATGGCGGCGTTTTAAGAGCGTTCTCTGGCGACCGCCGTGACACTGCCATTCCCATGCCCTGTCGAATTCTTTCCTCAGATCCCAGGCATTTAAACGTCCCCCCCTCTTCCTCCCTCCTCCTCTTCAGCGCTCAGGATGTAGCCAAAAGTCCACTGACCTATGTGGGAGTGGATATTTTGGAAGACGGCCCTGGCTCTTTCACTCTCTATTCCTGTCCTCGCACGTTCATTAGCCCGGCCTGGAGAGTCGGAGTGTTTACATGTTGTTATCATTCCTCTCCTATCATTTTTCTTCCCTGCTTTTTTTTTCTCCCCTTCGTTCCCGCCGCTGAGGGATGTTTTTTTTTCTAGGTGGGGTCATCTGCTGTAATGAATTCATGTATGTCACAGCAGAAGTACTATAATCACCGAGGAGATTAAATATACATGTGTTTACCCTGGTGAGAATGTGGGAAAAGCTCTTTGAAAGACCTGCGCGGTTATTGCTAAAAACACACTACAGCGCCGAGAAAGAGAGAGAGAGAGAGAGAGAGAGAGAGAGAGAGGGAGAGAGAGAAGAAGAAGAAGTGATGCATGCTCCATATAATGCAAGAAAAAGAGGAGGGAGACAAACAGAGCTGCTGCTGCTGCATTTGGATTTCTTCATCCACATGATATTTAATCGTGTTTCTACTTCAGTTCAAACTCTCTCTGACTTTAACATATCACCATCAAAACATAAGACAGACAACACAGCAAATCAATCAAACCAGTCATTGATTATCGATCACATTTTCATGTGTTTGTGCAGGAAACATGCTGCAGATTTTTCCTGACATGAGTCTAATTAATGTTAAATAATGTTTGAGGATGAGCTGTTTAATACGGAAGCCCTGAGCGGACATGTTTTCACAAGATCACAAGAGTTTTCTCATGATCTTGAGAAAACGAGGCTTTGTGTTTTTTTCGAGATCACGAGATCATTCGCCAGAGCTCCTGCCCAACGCGGTGAGACCTTTTGGGCCACAGAGAGCGCCGCCACCCGGTCAAAATGATGGTTCTCTGACTTTTCAAAGTATCAAGAGGGATTTATTTTATTCATTTAATAAATATAAATTATTAACAAGAAGTCGACACATTATGGACAATGAATTTCAGCGTTTTTATACAGCGTTTTAATTTCAACGATGAAATATTCACATTCATTCAAGCCTTTTAGAACTATGTTGCAATTTTACAATTTAGCTCCTAATAGGAACCTTTAATCGTGAAACTGGGCGCCATTCTCTTGACTTTCCAGCGCTCTGCTTCAGTCGGGGGACAAACTTCATTCAGGAGAAAAGCTGGTGATAAACTGAAGGATCCATTCTGACTGAAGCGAGCTCGCTGACGCTGTCGAACAAGTGTCGAAGCTGTCGCAAACCGTGAGGGGCAAAGACGTACGTTTTCGCACATGGGCAGCACAAATCGAGTTTCTGGGACAGATCAGGTCACCACAGGTAGACACCGCGGACACCGAACCACGTACAGTGATCAGCCCAGTGTTTCTAGTCCACTGCAAAATTAATATGTGATCTCAAGACAATGGGGGTAAAAAAAAAAAAAAAAACATGTTTGCTTAGGGCCTCTGCAGTTTAAACATCTGATGAAGAAAAGAGAAAAAAAAGTGAAATGCGAGGTCAGGTTTGTGTTTAGTTTTGGCAGCCAGGAGTCAAAAACGTTTGAGGTTTTGAAAAAGGGACGAAGCAGCAGATAGAGAATTAAAAAATCTACGATCATATTCTCTGTCTTCGTAGGATGTAATCGGCGTTAACTGCAGAGTTTATTCAGAAGAAGTAAAAACCTACAATGGTCTTCTGATCCTCTGTGAATGTGCGCCTACATACAAACATGCTCCTCAGTGTGATCGTCTCTGCAGACGGTGGATCTCCTGACCACGCAGTCGAACCGTAGCTGCAGTCATTTGGCGTTTGGAGTGTTTCTAAACCCAAACGGCGATCAGATCTGGGTTGTGGTCATTGTTGACAGAGATCACAGCTAAGATTGATCTGCACATGGAGAGCGTCAACAAAGACGTCCACGTCCGTGTGTGTCTGTGCAGCTGTAAACATATGTACGGTCCAGCTGTATGACAAACAGACAAAGCGGCGCGGCGGCGGCGGCGATAATGACATCCTACCTCATAAATCCTTTTGTACCGGCTGCGTATCTGACAGAATAGACTTGTATAATTGACTGTATGGAAGAAGTCTGCAGTGATCAAACACTTGTGTTTACAGAT